AGCAGGTAGTCCAGCATGACTGGGACCCAGACTGAGCAGTGTTTTACTCATGTTTCAATCAGTGAGGCAGTGACAGGAAAAAGTACCAAGTACAAACAGTGATCAAAGGATGATCTAATAGATATGCTAAAAGATTCATAATTAAGGAAAAATTGCCTAGCCACCCAGGGTACTTTCATCCATGTGAAGATGCTTCCATATATAGGATTATCAAAGATTATCATGGAGCACTAAGAGTGAAAATGTGAATGTCCATTTTCACAGATAAGCCAAAAAAGAGGAAAAATATAAGAGACTATGCTTCAAAAGACAGTGGTCCTTTTCTTGTTTATTTTTTGTTTAAATGCATTTTATAGATTTTTCTTGATAATACCATCTTTTTATCACCTAGTAGCCCCATAAGTAACAAAAAATGATCTGTACCAGGGAAATGAATTAAAGAGAGGTTAAATGGCTTTCCTGGGGAAAAACATTTATTTGCAAAGCTAGAATAGGGCAAAAGAGAAACTCTGTTCCTGATGCATTTCTTACACCAATCACAGATGATGCAAAATATTCAGTGATATGAAATGAGTGATTTTATTTTTAACACAGAATCATGTAAATTTTAAGCTACATTAGTTGTTTTGTTATTGTTCTTGAATTTTAGATTACATTTACAATAATGACATGAGAATAGTAATGTTCCTTGATGGTTGATTTTTTTCCCAAAGATAAAAAGGAAAAAAGCCCACATATTTTTTTTAAATTATACTTTTCATATATATCTGATATGACAGAGTTACCAAAACTTTTGCATTGTAGATTTACATATTCAGTTCATCTCACATCAAAAGCTGTTCTGTTGGATTTTAAATGAAGAATATAACATAACTTTTCATTTTGAACTTACTACTTTAGTTACCAAAAAAATTCTATGAGTAATTATACTGTGCATTTCAAATTTTCTTTCATTAGTGAATAAAAGAAAATCTATAATAAGGCTAGAAATGTGTTCTCAGGAAAATATTAATTACTAAAATTGCTTAGAAGCTGAGTCATAGGGCCTTTTAAGTTTTTGCCGTACACTTGGAAGAAACTTAGTCTTACTGCGTTGTCACATTTTTTACCTCTCAACATTTTGAAAGCACAGTGAATATGAGAAGCTCTCTCATCAGTCATATTATCAGTTTTGTTCAAAAAGAAAAGGTGCTTCTCCAAACATAGTTTATCCCCAGTAGCTGTCTTACTAGTGTCTGGGGCTTAGGGTTGTTTTGTAGTATCTGCAGTCTTCCAGCTCTGCACTCTGTGTTCTCATTGGCTGACCTTCTAGGGAGGGCCAATTATAATGAACTATTTCAGCATATTCTGCTGAGGATTTCCTTAGTGTCGATTGGAGCTTTTTGTTCTTGGTGTTCTGTTTTGTTACTTTTTCTCCCCCTCCCCTCCCCCCTTTACAATATGTGAACTACCAGTCTTATTGGCACTGTAATTCAGGTCAAGCTCATAAAGACAGCCATTTCTTCACTGTACTAGCAGGGCTGACAACTTTTTGTAGAGAAGGGTTTGATTAAGACCAATCATACCCTTCCTAGCCTGGGGAAATCAAACACAGTGGCATTCTTGGCCACCAGGATATAGATAATACCTATTTATATCTCTTAGGTAAATCCAGGAGGACTTCGCCTAGCTATTGTATGATCTATATCACATCTGCCATTTGGTGTAGCAGCCTAGCAAGAACTAGTGCTACCTTAGAGAAGTTTATGTAGTTTGATGAATAAAAAGAGGACCCCTAAGGAAAGGGCTAGGAATATGTAACTGTCAAGAAATGGAGAACTCTTTTATTAGGATGTCAGAGTGCTAAGTACCTCGGGATTTCCACTCGTTTTGTGCACCAGCAGGTGACCCGGATACTTCCATTTGCCAGCAGAAGCCCACCTGCCTGCCCATCTGCCTACCTGCCTGCTCTCACACTTTGTTTTTACTATAAGACTCAAGTAATTGGTTCCATCTTAAGCAAGATTATAGTGTCATACAGTGGGAAGATCACAGAATGCCTTTAAGTACTTCTATTAAATTTAACACTAAATAAATAAGATAGTATGTCTTAATAGTTCAAAAGAATCTCTTCCTGGATGTTAGTATTCTCAGAAAGAAACTGAGAAGGAAATAATAAAGATGATTTCATTTTAGTTCTGGGTACCTGGGCATACCAAGGAGACTCAGGCCTAGGGTGTCATTACTGCATTCCTACTAACTAATATATCTTAAAATAGTATCTTCTTTATTTAGAGTTACATGGTTAAAAAAAAAAAGGATTGATTCTATCATATATAGAAAACGGATCCCTCATTGTCTATAGGCTTTGATCAGGAAAGCAGTGGCTCTTCTACTGGCAAATCTTAAATAGGCAAGATTAACTTTTTTTTCTTTCTTTTTAAAAAGACTTTATGTTTTTAAGATCAGTTTTAGGTTTACAACAAAATTGAGAGGAAGGTACTGAGATTGCTTATATATCCCCTGACCTCACACATTTATAGTCTCTCCCATTATCAATATCACTCACCAAAATGGTTTTGTTTTTTTTGTTTGTTTGTTTGTTTTTTTACCAAGGACAAACCTACACTGACACATCATAAGCACACAAAGTGTATAGTTTACCTTAGAGTTCACTCTTGCTGGTGTACATTCTATGGGTGGAAACTTAGATTACTGATTTCAGCTCTTTCTTCTTTTCTAATATATGCATTCAATGCTATGAATATCCCCCAAGCACTGTTTTCATTACATTCCACAATTTTGATAAGTTGTTTTTCATTTTCATTTAGTCGAAATATTTTTAAATGTCTCTTGAGATTTCTTCTTTAACCCATTTGTTATTTAGAAGTGTTTTTTTGTGTGTGTGTGGGAGGGATGAGAATTAATTACTTAAACTTAAAGACATAAGTTTATTTAAGAGCAATGAGGGAACTCTTTTGACTTCTTGGAAGTGTTGCCAAAGAAAATACAGGATTTTCATCCTACATTCTGATTTTATGTTGATAATAAATCATCATGTTTTCTTCTTTTTGCTATTGCAGTACTTCTGTTGCAAAGAATGAGAGTCATATGCTAGCCGAGTGAGAGATTATCACTTAAATATTTTCTTAAATTTCAAGTGTCTGCTCTTCTTGTACTGGGAGATAGTAAATAAGGGACTGAAAAAAGCTGAAAGGATTCACACAGGTAATTTTTCATGACGTATGCAAGAAGGGGGAAAGAAAATGAGCAAATAAAATTTCATAACTAATTTGAGTCAAACTGCATGAAAAGACTGGACAGAAAGAATTCATGTAGATGGTAAATTATAATCACAACAGCATTTCCTTTAGCTGTTGACAAGCTCTTGGTTCATTCTGTAATCATGTACTTTAAAAATGAAAGAAGGGACCAAAAGTGCTTTTGTGGATTTGACCTTGAACTGAAACTGTCATTTGGGTGACAGCAGGCATTATCAAACCTTAGTCTTCATTTGCCATTTTCTTGGTGTCATAAATGCTTCTTTTTAAATAAGTTACATTTTTTTCAGTGATCAGAATTCAGAATCACATCTCTCTGGGATTGGTGTGAGCACTTTTTTTTTTTCTTGTAAGGAACTTATGCCAAAGCATACCTACTTTGTTACAGTTATTAGAATTAAATGATATTGCATGTAGAGCTTGTGTTAAACACAATGAGTGCTTGATAAATGGTAGTTGTTATTAGCACTTGGTATGGTTGTATTTGTTATTATCTATGCTGTTACAGTTATTAGAATAATAAAACCTTCATTTCTTAGTTCTGAAGATCTTAGTTTCTAATCAGATGAAGTAGTGTCAAGCACATGGCTTATAGTATTTTATTTGTCTTGCTACACTACTGTCATTGATTGGTAAATATTTAATAGAATAAAAAGAAAACACACATAATAGGATTCCTCAGAAGCTATAATGTGAATAAACCAGAAACGGCTATTTTTTAGTCAGTTTGCTTGAAGCTGTGATTTAAAAATATATCCAGACACAACTTTGGATGGGGCAGCTGCACTACAAATGACTGAGAAATTAGAGATGGAAACAAAGACAGTTTAGATCAGAGTATCAAGAGTAGCCTTTGCACGGAAATACCAAGACAGAATTGATGACAATATACACAAGACTGTATATGCTTCCACAAGATCGTAGGAATCATCTAATCCAGTTCCTAGTTTTCTGGATGAGGGGATATTGAATATCTGAGAGATTTGGTGACATGCCCAGGGTTGAGGACAAGATGGAATAACTTTCTGACTCCTAGTTAAATACTCTTTCCATTAAAGCAGAAATACTGTGGGAATCAGCAAAATACCCTGGATGGAGATTTTTGTCAAATTTCTATAACTGACTGGTATCAACTAATAGAGTTCTTACTAGGTATAGGACACTGTACATTTCTCAATGGGGTTAAACGATTATAGTAATTATATTTTGAAAAAAATCAGTTGAAATTCTCTAATAAAATGAATGCATTGATAAAGCTATCTCCTTATTTTTAAAACTTTGATAATGTGGAAAAGAGTCATATAACTTTTGATAGGTCATTTTCTACTTACTTTGAAGGATGGAGAGTCATTAGACTTAGTTGCTCTAATTTGTACCTTATGCTTATATTAAGTACATTTTACAGTAACTCTGGAAGAATCATTACATTGTGCATATGTGTTTGTGGTAAAACCTTTTAACAAATTATATTAAGTTTACTTCTGATGTTAGGTTGCTTCCTACAGTTTACAGTTACATCAGCCAGCAACATTTTCATCTGTTATTTCTAGTTAACTATAATTACTGTATTCAAAAATAACTAATAATTATTTTATTCAAAAACTATAAATAAAGGCTTAATTTATAGATTCATCCATTGTTTATCTTCAAGGCATAAAACATACAATACAAAGAAAAAAATCTACCCAACATCTGCTTTTGCCCGGATTGTAATTTTCGCTTCTTTGTCTTGTTTTATAGAGCTACATCCATGGGAGCAGCCAGGCTCAATTCGTGGCAGAGTCACACATTATTCTGCTACTAAGTATCCTTTAAAACACAGATGGACTGAAAAGGACAAAGCAAAGCTGCATGCTATCAAATTGATTTTTTTCTAATATCAAGACTTTCAAGACATTAAATTTTAAACTTTACCATTTGACTAATTTTCTAATTCCTATGCTGATTATTTTTTCTTGCATTGTAATTTTTTAAATTCTGAATCATTAACAGACTGTAATTTTCTCTCTTTTTTTTTAACTGACTACTGAATTATGAAGAATAGCTTTTGCTCTGCATTGATTATCTCTGGCTAGAGTTTTTTGTGACGTTTGTATGGTTTTCCCCTTTAGGATCTTAATGGGGAGAAAAAAGTGTCCTATGATATAAAAAGCAGGATAAAAAAATTATCTTAGTACTGGTTCCCTTAAATATTATAGTAAGTGAGAAGAGGGAGATTTAGGATAATTCGACATCTTTTTGGAACATGGCAGACTAAATGTTATGAATCAGATAACAGTACAATTTATGGTTTAGAGGTAGAAGGGTAAAGAAGATAGCAGGATAGGAAAGAGGTAAGGTTCATGTCTAAAAACTAAATATTACTAGAATGAAGTAAGGTTACTTTTGGGGCAAAAGACTGTACTTTGGGGGAACGCTGACATTTGTGTGAGTCCTGTGGAAATATTTGTATGTTAAATTTAGTGTTGAAAGTGTTGAGTCATTATCGGGATTTAGAGTGTGCCTTATAGTGTCATTTATAAAATTTGATTACTCTCCTGGTTACTGAGATTCATATTCAAATGAAGCAGTCTAGACCAAATTTTCCAGTATTTGATGTAACCATAACTATTTAAACCTTTAAGGATTCTTAGGACTCACCTAGGCCAAAACTTTATTTTATAGCTAGGAAAACTAAAACCCACAAGATTTAATGGACTTGCCTTAGGTTGGAGGAAGAACTAGGATTAGAATTGTTTTGTTTTGTTTTTAATAGTCTACCGGTTGTACAGGTTTTATATATATTATTGTATTATTATTTATAGGATTTCATGAATAAGTGTCAGTCATGACATCTTGAAGTTTTAAATTTTATTCTGGGTGGAAAAGACTATCTTTTAATAGCATTAAAGCTTTGTATTTTATTACTTTGTTGTGCTATAACAGTGCACTCTTTAATCCACCTAGCAAATATGTATATGCCACCTTTAGTTCTCTTTTACTTGCATAATATGTTCTGGACAGTGCATCAGGTGCCAGGATACACTGAGACTTGTATTAATTATAGTGGAGGAAAGGAGTGGGAGGGTCTTAAAAGCACTCCCAATTCTCAAGAAACTCACAAACTTCCTCATTTGTAAAACCAGGTTTAGTAAACTAACCACACGGCACTTCTCTGTGGAATATGAGATAGCTAGCACAAAGAAACCATCTAGCACTCACTAAAGGCTTTGGTTTTTCCTGTTGTATTTTTTCCCATCTTTCTCACTCAAAACTTTGCTGGTCATAGATACCATACATAAACATTTACTGGTTGATTGTTTTAACATTTGGCAAAGGCGTAGATGAACAGAAACAAAACAAACAAAACAAAAACATAGTCCTATGGTATTTATCAGAACTCTGAAGGTTATACTGGGAACATAATGGATTAATTTTTCTGGAGTGTGATTCACTGAGCCCATTAATCATGTGTAATTAACAAGATAGTAAAATGATACATTTGGAAGATCTGACCTTGGAAATGAAGCTTTAAATGAGATTTTAAGACTCCATTTTCTATTAGAGGGGAACTAAACACTATCTTTTTGAAACTCACCAAACAACATCGACCATCTTCTTCCTCTGTATCAGTTCTCAACATTTTTATTCCTTTCATCCTTGGCTTCTCATACTTGAGTGCATTTCATGGAACTGTGCATATCTGTAACCCATTCCTTGCATTTACTTAATTACCTATGTGCTTTGTGGCTTCACAATTAAGAAGATACTATGATGAGTATTTTTTGCTCTAGTCTGTCTCAGATTGTTTACTTAAATGTAGGTATTTCCAATTCCATTCTCAAATTTTGTGATCTTGATAAGTTAACTACGTGGTTTCTCTTTTCCAGCTTTCATAGGATAAGAGATTAATACTTTCTGCACATTTAGAGGGAATTTAGGTGAGAAAATAAAATATTTGCAAATACATTTCTAGGAACATCTCATCCTTATTAAAAAAATTAAGGGTAATGCCATATTTGCTCTTAATTTATCTTTTAATTATATAAGTTAATTTATGAAGTAAAACACATTTGTGTTAAAACACAGTACAGTAATCCCCCCACAAGTCCATAGGAAATACGTTCCAAGACCACCCCCAGTGGATGCCTGAAACTGTGGATAGTACCGAACCCTACATATACTATATTTTTTCCTATACATACATACCTATGATAAAGGTTAATTTATACATCAGGCACAGTAAGAGAATATCCAAACTGCCAGCATCACTACTCTTGTGCTTTGAGGCCATTATTAAGTAAAAAGGGTCACTTGAACACAAGCACTGTGATCCCACGACAGTTTATCTGGTAACAAGATGGCTACTAAGTGACGAATGGGTAGTGAATGCAGCGTGGATACTCTGGACAAAGGGATGATTGACATCCGGGTGGGACAGGGCAGGAAGGTGTGAGATTGCATCATGCTACTCAGAATGACATTTAAATCTCAATTTAAAACTTACGAATTATTTTGGAATTCTCCATATGATGTTTTCGGACTGTGGGTAACTGAAACCACAGAAGAGAACCTCCAGAAAAGGGGGAATATGTACTGGAGGTAACTTTTTGGTTCTTATTTATATGGACTTTTTTTTTCTTTTCTATCTGATTTCAATCCATGATGTGGCATTTTAGCAGTATACTTTATTCCAAACAGCCTATAAATACATCAGGAGTACCTAGCAAAAGGAATGAAAAGGTGTGTTGAGACCATCATTTCATTGTATGGCAGGAATTCCCCAAAGTTTCATTTCCTGGCTCACTGACATCAAGCTGAGATTTAGGATGCAAAGAAATTTCACAAACATTATGAAGTCTTCGATGTAGATTTTTTTTTTAACATCCTTATTGGAGTATAATTGCTTTAACAGTAATACACAGAATTAAAAGCCCCTATTTTCTTTCTGCTACTAGTAACTATTTGTTGCCTTATCGCTCCTGTTATTTTTATTTACAGATATCTATGAAAAGAGAAAATGTCTTTCAAAATAGTGGACTCATTAAAATTATCAGTAAAAGTTTAGTAGAAGCCAGTATCTAATAATTTCTTTTTTTATATATACTTTATGATTTTACTTTTCTTTGGCAGAGTCTACCGATATTGTTTAAACTTATCATGTAATTTTTTTGTAATTTGCATGTATATTTTTTCTCTTTAAACAACAACAACAAAAAAGGTAAATTCCAGGTGGTTGCTTTTTGTTTAGAGAACATTTATGCCTTTTGGTTTTCTCTTCCTAATTTAGTAAGCGAGATCATTAGATGCAATTGCTGTATACAAAATTTTATTGAAAAGAAACCTAAGAAACAACAGATGGATTCATTTGCTATCATAGGTTACTGATTCACATTTAGTAAAAGTAAGATTTTTCTCCCTTTTAGTAGTGTTTTATTTCAGTACCTTATGGGGGGGGGGGGAGAACAGTCCTAAGTAGTCTTTGAGAGAAAACTATTTTAAAAAGGAATAAAAAAATGTTATGACGTTTTAATAAGGAATATACGAACTAAGACTAACTCATATAATCCTTTATATTTTTCCAAGTAAAATATTTTTTTAATTTTTAATTTAGTTATGTAATGAAAATATAAGGTATTTGCTGTTTGCAAGAAGGTAGACTGATAGAGAAATAATTTTAATCTGGTATGCCAGATCCTATAATCAGTGCTTGGAAGGAGCAACTTGATGCCTGCAGAAGTTGAACGGACTTTTCAGCTGGGTTTTGATACAGCAGAAAAAGGGTTTCTCCCCACGTGGAGAATGAGTGAGCGAGAATATTCCAGTGGAAGGTGCAACAGGTACAAAAACATAAAATGAGAGAGTATTCTCAAACTGTGAAGGGCAGATTGATGAAAGGTTAGTTGGCTGGATAATGAATATCTTCCCGTACCTTGCTAAGAAATTTCAATCACCAAGATACGTCATATGTGCTAGGTGAAACAAGACACATGAATGAGTTCCAGGATTGGCTTTACTGTCAAGTATACAAATTCTGACCTGTCCCTTAATTCTGCATATCCTCTAAGTTCTGTAATCTCAAGAAGATGACATGAGATTAGTGTCAATTAGAAGTAAAAGTTCTGAAATAAAAGGCAAAGGTTTTACTAGCAATAATAACAGTTTTAAAATATTTAAAAACATGTATTCTTACATGGTTCATATTTGCTTTTCCTATGAGAAAAATATTTGTTTTCCATTTATTATGAAAGAGTATGATTTTACTCTGATTTGTTTTCAATCTATGATAGCAAATATTTCTTTTATTTTAATGTGTTATATCCAAGGAGAAACATACTGTAGAAGAAAATTAGTGACGGATGCAAGTTGATATTTTAGATTTAGATAGAAGACCAAGTCTTCTATGATGTGCTGACTTTTTTCAGCATTTGTTTGCATTTATCTTTAAATTGACAATCCTGATTCTCTTCCTAGGAGCAACAGTAAACCCAACATCATGTGCAATTGAGATTGGATTATAATGTAATGCAAATGTATGTGTCACCAGTTCAGTAGGACGCTCATTGCCTCTGGGTTTTGTATATAATTTACACAAACAGCAACTTCTGTTTTATGTAGGATCATATCAATATTTTGACTTTTTTCGTGGTAAGAAGGTGATTGACAGGATAAAGAGAGAAACTGGGGAGTACACAGTAGTTGAGTATATATTGCTATGATATTAATCAATGCAAATGTGCACAGTAATACATGAAGTAGAACAAGGGCGTGTGTGTGTGTGTGTGTGTGTGTGTGTGTGTGTGTGTAGGCATAGGCATTAACAAT